GCTGGTCCACAGCTGGTCCACAGCTGGTTCTTCTCTAGTGGATTCAAATGTTGGCTGCGGTCGTTGTCATTTTCCTGACGTGACAATCGTTCGTCCGTCACCTTGATGTTAGGAGTGTTCATTATCCGCCCTGACTGTAGCTCACGTTCTGGCTGAAATATGTATCGGCTCCAAGAGCGACTCCAGGCTCCGCTGAGTGTGTGCTTTTTGAGATGTACAGTATGTGCAAACATTGTTGAATCTGCGGCGAATGAGTTCATAAGACTTTTGTTTTTCGACTTCTTTCGCAAAGTGATTGTAGCATCGGATTTGTGAGTCTTTAGGGAACAAAACTGTTCTGTTTTTCAAAGCCTGTTCAACATCCAGACAAATGAACCACTGTGTAAGAGTGAAGCAGAGCTGTGGGAGGATCAGCAGCCTCACCGTCTCGTCCTCTTCATCTCATCACCCTTTGTTTGGTAAAAGTTCTCTCTGACTTCTTTACATCGTATAAATACTCTCCATTGTATTTTAAAGTACTTTAAAATACAGTATTTTGTATCTTTAAACTCCAAAGAAAATACCTCGGTTTTTAAATGGCAGAAATCCCTAGTACGACAGCTGAACTTCTCCCCTTTTCTCCCCTCACACAATTCTGTCTTTAATTCAAATGTCGCATTAAATATGAATGACTGCTGTTTTCAAATCTTGTTGTCGTCCTTGGGAATGGGAATCCTGTCATATTTATCGGCCGCGCGTCGACTTCTGAAATCAGCGGCGGCTGGTAAACGTCGACGCTGATTGGAATGATTTGTCCTTGTTGTCTGATGAAAGTTAAAGGAAAGAGGAGAGCACTGGGAATCTGGAGTGCTCCTTCTACTCCTTTTAGCGCAGGCTTGTGTTTGATTGGTTTTTCTGTTAGCAAATCCCAGAGGACGTGTACAGACTGATTACTTATTCATGGATGTGTGGAGATCTGCTTATCCTGGTGGAATATACACAAACTCATTTGCTCTTCCCCTTTTTACTCCTGCACTATCAAACGCCGGCCACTCTGGTATTCACTCCAATGTATATGATGCATATTTTATTGTTTTTTATGGTAATTCTCGCCTTTACAGTGAAAGGACCAGCAGCAGCAGTCAGAGTGGCTTCATCTTAACATCTGACCTCACGCTGAAGCTCAAAAAAAAAAAAAAGATAAAAATTCATTGACTCTGTGAGTTGGTAGCGGTTTGAAAAGCTGTCACGTTATTTGTTCCCTCAGATCATGGTTGTCACACAGTGTGTTTGTTTGGTGTCACCAGGTTATGAAGCTGCTGTGAGGAGACTGAATGAGTCTCTCTGACCTCATGACTCCATACAGCGGCGGGAAAAACTTTCTGGCTGGGGTCGGAGGAGGGCAGATGAAGTCATGTGATATCAACTACACTAGTACCAACTGTTCTGTGTAAATACTGCAAATAAGTGGCACACATGAAAAAAAAAAAAAA